CAAGTCGCTCATGCGTGTCTCAAATTCATGAATGCACGCATTATATGCATATCTGTGGCATAGAATCTACGTACAAGTTCACACACTGAAAGAAATGAATGGTCTAATAAGCTTCAAAAGAAAATTCTTCATCTTTTCCGAGATTTCCTCATCTTTCAAAAGAGTGAAGAACAGGTTTCAAAAGCAATGATTTGAATTATTTGTTTTGAAATGGGATTAGAATAGCTAGCATTTTCCAAACTTATCTACCTGCGCCTATACTGAGCTGCCATCGCATGCCAGGTAGGTTCTGGCGATAGTTGTGATTATTACTAAGAGAAAAAGCCAAATGTAGAGAGACCGCGTGAAAATTTTCGAACAATATATTTGGCGGCGTCAATTATGGTTTGTGATGGAACAATATTCTCTACGACTCTTCTCTTCCCTCCCTCTCCTTCCTTTTTAACTCTCGGCCTTGACTCCTCAGATTATGTTAGTCCGAATTCGTATTTTTTAAATTGGAAACACAATTGACGACTATGGGGAAAGATGAACGGGAAGAAGAATGGGTTTAAGAGTAGATGATATGCGCTTTGACTCATTGTTCGGTCTCGTTGTGACTGTCACAACCCGAGTTTGACTGTGGTCTCCCCTTATACACAATTTTTAAACTGGAAGCTATATGAACAGAAGCAATAGTTGATCTATTATTCTTGCACGATCATGAAGAAGATTTTAAATACAGATGAATGTAAACTCATTGACTTTACATAAAAACAGAAAATTTTGTTCGCTTTGTGTATAGCTGAAAAACTCCAAATAAGGTGCACAAAAAGAGTGATGAAAAAATTTCTAAAATTACCTGACTATCTGTAGTAGTGTCTTCTATTTCCAGCAATTTCACCGTTGTAGACATCTGTAAAGAGCAGCAATGAAAAAGTGTATGATCACAAGAACTAGTTTTTAGAGAAGAGTAGGCAACGACCGCTCCTAGTGTCGAGTGGACCGATGATTGGAAAATTACATCATCAAGAATGATCACGTGAGAGGAGTATGATCATGAGAGGATAGGAATTGCTAAATTTTAAATATGCTTCAACATAATACGCTTACTTAGACTTTTTATCACTATATAGCTAGAACAACAGTTGACACAGTTTGGAGACATGAATAGATAAGGATATGTTCCTATGCATAATATTGACTATAAAAATCCTCCCTAAACTAAAATTTTCCA